TAAACTAGACTGTAAACTAGACTGTAAACTAGACTATAAACTAGACTAAAAACTAGACTATAAACTAGACTATAAACTAGACTATAAACTAGACTATAAACTAGACTATAAACTAGACTATAAACTAGACTATAAACTAGACTATAAACTAGACTATAAACTAGACTATAAACTAGACTATAAACTAGACTATAAACTAGACTATAAACTAGACTATAAACTAGACTATAAACTAGACTATAAACTAGACTGTAAACTAGACTATAAACTAGACTATAAACTAGACTATAAACTAGACTATAAACTAGACTATAAACTAGACTATAAACTAGACTATAAACTAGACTATAAACTAGACTATAAAGAACGAGAAACGAGACGAAGAAACGAGAAGAGATAACGAAACGAGAAACGAGAAGAAAAGGACGAGAAACGAGACGAGAAACGAGCGAAGACCAGAGGGGCGGGGACGAGCGCCAAACAAGGGAGACAGAGGCGAGCGAGGGACGAAAGAGAGACGAGACGAGGACGAGACGAGACGAGAAGAAGACGACGAAAGAGACGAGCGAAAGACGAGAGAGAACGAGACGAGACGAGACGAGGAAGGGAGACGAGAAGACGAGAGAGACGAGACGGGACGAGACGAGACGAGACGAGACGAGACGAGACGAGACGAGACGAGACGAGACGAGACGAGACGAGACGAGGAGACGAGACGAGACGAGACGAGACGAGACGAGACGAGACGAGACGAGACGAGACGAGACGAGACGAGACGAGACGAGACGAGACGAGACGAGACGAGGACGAGACAGACGAGAGACGAGGACGAGACGAGACGAGACGAGACGAGACGAGACGAGAAGAGACGAGACGACGAGGACGAGACGAGACGAGACGAGACGAGACGAGACGAGACGAGACGAGACGAGGAGACGAGACGAGAGAGAGAGACGAGACGAGACGAGACGAGACGAGACGAGACGAGAGAGAGAGAATAGACGGAGAGAGACGAGCGACGAGAGACGAGACGAGACGAGACGAGAAGAGACGAGACGAGACGAGACGAGACGAGACGAGACGAGACGAGACGAGACGAGACGAGGACGAGACGAGACGAGACGAGAACGAGACGAGACGAGACGAGACGAGACGAGACGAGACGAGACGAGACGAGACGAGACGAGGACGACAGACGAGACGAGACGAGACGAGACGAGACGAGACGAGACGAGACGAGACGAGACGAGACGAGACGAGACGAGAGACGAGACGAGACGAGACGAGACGAGACGAGACGAGACGAGACGAGACGGACGAGACGAGACGAGACGAGACGAGACGAGACGAGACGAGACGAGACGAGACGAGACGAGGACGAGACGAGACGAGACGAGACGAGACGAGACGAGACGAGACGAGACGAGACGAGACGAGCGGGACGAGACGAGACGAGACGAGACGAAGAGGACGAGACGAGACGAGACGAGACGAGACGAGACGCGGACGAGACGAGACGAGACGAGACGAGACGAGACGAGACGAGACGAGACGAGACGAGGACGGAGACGAGACGAGACGAGACGAGACGAGACGAGACGAGACGAGACGAGACGAGACGAGAGACGAGACGAGACAGACGAGACGAGACGAGACGAGACGCGAGACGAGACGAGACGAGACGAGACGAGACGAGACGAGACGAGACGAGACGAGACGAGACGAGACGAGACGAGACGAGACGACGAGAGAGACGAGACGAGACGAGACGAGACGAGACGAGACGAGACGAGACGAGGACGAGACGAGACGAGACGAGACGAGACGAGACGAGACGAGACGAGACGAGACGAGACGAGACGACGAACATACGATACAGAACGAGACGAACTATACAGACGAGACGAGACGTACTAACGATACCGAGACGAGACGAACTAGACGGGAGACTAGACGAGACGATACTAGACGAGACTAGACAGAGACGATACGAGACTATACTATACGAGACGGGTAAGACTAGACGATACAACTATACGATACGTAGAAGAGGACGAGACTAAGACTAGACGAGACGATACGACTAGACTAGACTAGACGAACGACGAGCTAGACGTAGCTATACATACTATACTGATGACATACTAACGACTACTATACTATACTAACTATACGATACTATACTATACTAGACGATACTATACTATACTATATACGACTATACTATACTATACATATAACTATACATACTATACCTATACTACTATTAGATGAATCGCTGTACAATGTTAAACTTTTTGTTATACAATTAAAACCTTTTGATCTTCACTGTTCATAGACAGTGGTTTACAATAAGTGTGTCTGAAAATGGTTTCTTTTATATTTGTCTTTCTACACATTTTTTTCCGTATTATTTAAAATTACTTACTCCACTTTATTGTATATAGTAAATCGTGTTGATTTAGTGTTGTATATTCGCTCTCATTTCTTTTTTTGTCTGATTAAGTATAAAAAGCGCTACAAATTTCACAAACCCATTACAAATGAAATCAAAATGTCATGTTTTGGTTGTAAATGAAAAAAAAAAAAACAAAATTAACGTTGCCACTTGAAAAACTTCAGTTAAATACTCGTTAATAGATCATGAAATCTATGTATAAGGAAATTAAATTTAAGACCACCAAAGAGGTTTTTTTTATAAAATAACCAACAACAAACTAAAAAAAATTAATTCCACACCTACCTTAAGTTATAATAATCCGTTTAAGTTTATTTTCTCAGTCATTGTAAAGCTATTAGTAAATCCATCGGTTTCTTTAATTTATTGAAATTAGTTTTACATTCTGATTTTGTTCTAAATATGAATTCTATTGAAGTTCTTTTAAATCGGTCCTTGATTCCCTTTAGCGCCGCGAAGCCTCATTATATTGATTCATCACTGATAGAATAATCTAAAATTGGAATCTTTAATTATCTGGGACTTAAGACTTCTTTATCCATATAGATTCAGAATTGAATGGTGGAATTACACATACATATGTATATAATTTTCTCAAGACATGTTATTGCAATTTCCGGGAATAGTGAGTAACTCAGGTATGGGACCTTAAGCTGAAGGAGTTTTCATCTCAAGGCTTTACTATAGTTCCTTACCTGTCACCAAGAGAACCATTTTCACTCAGTACTTTTTCTATCTAGTTGTTGGTGAGGACCCTTTAGGGATCTCGCGATAAGAGAATGTTAGTTAAAGTCCTGATGTTGTATCTGTATGATTAGTGGGCGCACTTACATATGGTAATAGAATAATCGGTGGTTTTGCTTTACGACAAATCTGACTATACTTGTTCATATCGTGGAGAGTCTGCAGATATACACATGTATGTATAAAAGGATTTTTGTGTATACTTCGAGCTGTTGTCGAATTAATAGAGACCATACCAATGCTCTGACTCGTGTGCACCTTCTCACTTATTGGTCATTGCCGCTCTGTCAAGAAATGCCTTTAATGCCTCAGAGAGGCCACTTTGAATACTTAAGCAAAGTGCTTGATCCGGCAAAGTTGTGTGTTGGAAAGTTGTCACCTGAGCATACTTTGCCAATCACGCAGCAGTGGTGGTTTTTGGTGTGGTTGAAAAAGAGCACCCTGGGTTTAGGCTAACACGGCGGTACTAACGTAAGCACAGTCCCGAACTACCTATTTATTATACCACTTAGGTTTAGTCCTAACCAGGTCCTCCCAATCAAGGAACAAAATGTCATGCTGACTAAACAGTTCCTTCTGGAATGTCACCGGAGAAGTCTTCCCAACTTTAACATAACACAGTTGAATGCTCCCCCGATGTACATATGTCAGGAAGGGCCTTCGTTTATACGAGGAGATAATCATACGAAGATATGTGCAAGATCCCTCGTATCGTAGTTCGTTTACAGCAGCTTTGAACGGCATTCATATAGACGCCATCAATACCGCGGTTTCAGGTTACCGCATGAAAGTCATTCTTGGGGGCCGTCCACCGCCTATAACAGAAGAACCTGCCGCGGAAAACAAGAGTTGCTCTAGCACAACTGAGATCGGGATGGGGCAACAGGCTCAATGCCTACTGGCCCCGCATAGACCGTGCCGTCCCCAACATATGTCTTGCAGGTTAGCCCAATGTATTTATGGACTGACCCTGTAAAAGTAGCCCAATTTCTTGGCTTAAACCTAAATACAGAAACCCCGGATTAAGAATTGTATAGTTTAAGTTGTTACGACAGCAACAACAACCCCTAGCCACCGACTGCTCCGGTCACTAGCTATTTTAACATGTGCTAGTCCTACGAGGAAGTTAATCGTCACCCCATAGATTATGAAGAGACATACAAAAAGCTTAATTTTGGTTGTTTGGTCCACTCTCTTGCTTACAAAATGACGATTATTTTCTCCCTCGTTTACAAAGAGTACATCGGTGATGAATTAGAGCCAACCAGGTCGTTAGTGGAAATCACTGCCCGGAAAGTATTTAGCAACTTATATATAGAAGAAGAGTGTAGTAAGTGATGTCTGTGTGTTTGCTGATCAATGAGATATGATCTTAAATTAGTAACTTGATCGTATAGTAGTAAGCTTCTTAAGTTAATAATCTATTGATTAAAACTTTTGTTTTGAATATACTTAATCTCGGGAAGTTCTTTGATATTCTTCGTAGGTTTATGTAAATAGCTGATCGACTTTTAATGGCTAAGGGTGCCGATCGCACAAGTTCGTTATGGATTTTATATTTTAAACATTTCTATTTTAATAGTTACAGTAATGTTTAACAAACATATAGCAACTCTGCCAAATTTCGCCATAAATTCTAAACAAAAATTCCATTATTCTAATGTTATCTTTTACAATTTTATCTCTTATTATAATCTAACACAAAATTACAAAATAAGAAAATGAAAAACAAAAAATAATTTAATAACAATAAAAAATATTAAAATGGTTTTTTTTGTGTTTGTTCTCTTTATTACAGGTATTTTGCAATCGTGTGCCAATGAAGGTGAAGAAGTTCAAATTGCCATAAAAAATTCCAAATGCTTTAAATGTGCCTGCGAGGTATGTGACAATAATTTCAAAATGTTTTTGAGAAAATAAATTTATAACAATTAAAAACTCATGCACAAAATAACAACAATAATTGTTGTTCTTTTTAAAGAAATTTGTTTTTTTATAAATATATTTTTTATATAAAAAAAAAAATAATAATTTATGCATATTGCTGTAAAATTCTATTTTGAAATTGTATACCGGAAATGTAAACATATATGGCGTTAGTATTGATATTACACAATTTCTTAGGAGGGTTGTTTTCGAAATTAATTTATATATATTGCAACATTTATAATAGCAATGTTTTGGTTTATTAAACAGCCCTCGTTTTGCAAAAAGAAAAAATGTTCTGAATGAATGAGTATTACAATCAAATCTGGCTGTTGCTAAAAATTTCTTTAAGTGTAGTTGTTGTTATTGTTCTCTTATATACGTGTTTCATTCAAAACACATTTTATATGGTTCTTTTTTCCATTTTTGGGTTTAAATTTTGTTTTGGCAATAACTGACTTTTAACTACTTGACCTGGCCGTGTGCCATTTGATGTTGTCACAAAGTTTAGTTTTTTTTTCTCTCTGCAACTTGGGTTTTTGCAGAGGCTGTTGAGAGGGCAAAAGGTTTAAGTTGTTTTTAAAACTGTTCTTTTTAAAATAATCAATATTCTGTTGTGTTTGTTATTGGTGCCTTTAGTTGTTGATTCTTAAGGAGGTTTTAGTTGGGAGAAATATTAAAAACTATTAAAGTATTATTTGAAATTTAATTGCTTTATGAAATAAAATTTTTGTAAAATAATGTTTACGAAAAGAAACGCCCTGACGTTATAAATTACATAAAAGTAATTTTCCTAAACTGTTTTTTTAGGGACTTGACCGATCCTTAATCCATTCACTTTTTAAATAGTTTCATACATAGTACATATATCAATATTTTAAAGAGATTCTTGGGCTTTAAAAAAAATTAGGAAAAAAGTCCCTTATAGGGCCCAAGATCTATAGTGAAGAGATGCCAACGAAAGTTGTAGAATTTTATTACAACAGTGATATACATTATTAAACGATGTATATTCGAAAGTAGTTCTTAAATGGCTATCGTTGTATTTTAACGATTATTAAGGTCATGTAGTACGTTATAGGCTGTAATTTTTGGAAATATTTTAGCCAGACAATACGAGATTTTTATAACAAATTTATTTTAAAAAATACCTTGGCGCTGGTGCAACCCCTAGACCACTAGCTATTGGGACGGAATTCCGACTCTAAATATTTTATTAAAGTCCATATGTGGAGTAGAATAATCAGCAGTTTGGTTTAAGAGTAAGGGCTGTAAGTCTTATAATCATCGCATGTCCATATGTTCTTAATCTCCAAAATACACACTCAATGCATGAGGGTCGATAATAATTCAGTGCCTAATAATTCTAAAGTGCCAATTAATGCTAATCCCTGAACTTGTTATACAAATGGTGTACAATAGACATAACAGCTTATAACCCGCTTTCTCAAGTTAGGGAGACCGCGATAATGCTGATGATAAGAATGTCATGAACGTAACCTTCGGCCGGGATGATAGACTAGTCATCCATGTGGATGTTGGTGTTCTGGAACTTCAAGGACTCTAACGTCTTTTGGGTTTCAGGCTTTTAATGCTATCGATGCATTTGCTGAGTTATTCTCGGTACTCCTGATCGCGTATTTGATAACCCTGTGTATCACCCGAGAGTTAGAAATAGGGCAATGTTTTCCTTAGTTAGTTAGTAGTTAGTTAATTAGTTAGTTAGTTAGTTAGGTAGTTAGGTAGTTAGTTAGTTAGTTAGTTAGTTAGTTAGTTAGTAGTTAGTTAGTTAGTTAGTAGTTAGTTAGTAGTAGTTAGTTAGTTAGTTAGTTAGTTAGTAGTTAGTTAGTTAGTAGTTAGTTAGTTAGTTAGTTAGTTAGGTAGTTAGTTAGTAGTTAGTTAGTAGTTAGTTAGTTAGTTAGTTAGTTAGTTAGTTAGGTTAGTTAGTTAGTTTAGTTAGTTAGTTAGTTAGTTAGTTAGTTAGTTAGTTAGTTAGTTAGTTAGTTAGTTAGTTAGTAGTTGTTAGTTAGTAGTTTAGTTAGTTAGTAGTTAGTTAGTAGTTAGTTAGTTAGTTAGTTAGTAGTTAGTTAGTTAGTTAGTAGTTAGTTAGTTAGTTAGTTAGGTTAGTTGTTAGTTATAGTTGTAGTATTAGTATTAGTTAGTTAGTTAGTTAGTTAGTTAGTCTAGTTAGTTAGTTAGTTAGTTAGTTAGTTAGTAGTAGTTAGTTAGTAGTTAGTTAGTTAGTTAGTTAGTTAGTAGTTAGTTAGTTAGTTAGTAGTTAGTTAGTTAGTTAGTGTAGTTAGTTAGTTAGTTAGTTAGTTAGTTAGTTAGTTAGTTAGTTAGTTAGTAGTTAGTTAGTTAGTTAGTTAGTTAGTTAGTTAGTTAGTTAGTAGTTAGTTAGTTAGTTAGTTAGTTAGTTAGTAGTTAGTTAGTTAGTTAGTTAGTTAGTTAGTTAGTTAGTTAGTTAGTTAGTTAGTTAGTTAGTTAGTTAGTAGTTAGTTAGTTAGTTAGTTAGTTAGTTAGTTAGTTAGTTAGTTAGTTAGTTAGTAGTTAGTTAGTTAGTTAGTTAGTTAGTTAGTTAGTTAGTTAGTTAGTTAGTTAGTTAGTTAGTTAGTTAGTTAGTTAGTTAGTTAGTTAGTTAGTAGTTAGTTAGTTAGTTAGTTAGTTAGTTAGTTAGTTAGTTAGTTAGTAGTTAGTTAGTTAGTTAGTAGTTAGTTAGTTAGTTAGTTAGTTAGTTAGTTAGTTAGTTAGTTAGTTAGTTAGTTAGTTAGTTAGTAGTTAGTTAGTTAGTTAGTTAGTTAGTTAGTTAGTTAGTTAGTTAGTTAGTTAGTTAGTTAGTTAGTTAGTTAGTTAGTTAGTTAGTTAGTTAGTTAGTTAGTTAGTTAGTTAGTTAGTTAGTTAGTTAGTTAGTTAGTTAGTTAGTTAGTTAGTTAGTTAGTTAGTTAGTTAGTAGTTAGTTAGTTAGTTAGTTAGTTAGTAGTTAGTTAGTTAGTTAGTTAGTTAGTTAGTTAGTAGTTAGTTAGTAGTTAGTTAGTTAGTTAGTTAGTTAGTTAGTTAGTTAGTTAGTTAGGTTAGTTAGTTAGTTAGTTAGTTAGTAGTTAGTTAGTTAGTTAGTTAGTTAGTTAGTTAGTTAGTAGTTAGTTAGTTAGTTAGTTAGTTAGTTAGTTAGTTAGTTAGTTAGTTAGTTAGTTAGTTAGTTAGTTAGTTAGTTAGTTAGTTAGTTAGTAGTTAGTTAGTAGTTAGTTAGTTAGTTAGTTAGTAGTTAGTTAGTTAGTTAGTTAGTTAGTTAGTTAGTTAGTTAGTTAGTTAGTTAGTAGTTAGTTAGTTAGTTAGTTAGTTAGTAGTAGTTAGTTAGTTAGTTAGTTAGTTAGTTAGTTAGTTAGTTAGTTAGTTAGTTAGTTAGTTAGTTAGTTAGTTAGTTAGTTAGTTAGTTAGTTAGTTAGTTAGTTAGTAGTTAGTTAGTTAGTTAGTTAGTTAGTTAGTTAGTTAGTTAGTTAGTAGTTAGTTAGTTAGTTAGTTAGTAGTTAGTTAGTTAGTTAGTTAGTTAGTTAGTAGTTAGTTAGTTAGTTAGTTAGTTAGTTAGTTAGTTAGTTAGTTAGTTAGTAGTAGTTAGTTATAGTTAGTTAGTTAGTTAGTTAGTTAGTTAGTTAGTTAGTTAGTTAGTTAGTTAGTTAGTAGTAGTTAGTTAGTTAGTTAGTTAGTTAGTTAGTTAGTTAGTTAGTTAGTTAGTAGTTAGTTAGTAGTTAGTTAGTAGTTAGTTAGTTAGTTAGTTAGTTAGTTAGTTAGTTAGTTAGTTAGTTAGTTAGTTAGTTAGTTAGTTAGTTAGTTTAGTTAGTTAGTTAGTTAGTTAGTAGTTAGTTAGTTAGTTAGTAGTTAGTTAGTTGTTAGTTAGTTAGTTAGTTAGTTAGTTAGTAGTTGTTAGTTAGTAGTTAGTTAGTTAGTTAGTTAGTTAGTTAGTTAGTTAGTAGTTAGTTAGTTAGTTAGTAGTTAGTTAGTTAGTTAGTTAGTTAGTTAGTTAGTTAGTTAGTTAGTTAGTTAGTTAGTTAGTTAGTTAGTTAGTTAGTTAGTTAGTTAGTTAGTTAGTTAGTAGTTAGTTAGTTAGTTAGTTAGTAGTTAGTAGTTAGTTAGTTAGTTAGTTAGTTAGTTAGTTAGTTAGTTAGTAGTTAGTTAGTAGTTAGTTAGTTAGTTAGTAGTTTAGTTAGTTAGTTAGTTAGTTAGTAGTTAGTTAGTTAGTAGTTAGTTAGTTAGCTTAGTTAGTTAGTAGTTAGTTAGTTAGTTAGTTAGTTAGTTAGTTAGTTAGTTAGTAGTTAGTTAGTTAGTAGTTAGTGAGTTAGTAGTTAGTTAGTTAGTTAGTTAGTTAGTTAGTTAGTTAGTTAGTAGTTAGTTAGTTAGTTAGTTAGTTAGTTAGTTAGTTAGTAGTTAGTTAGTTAGTTAGTAGTTAGTTTAGTTAGTTAGTTAGTTAGTTAGTTAGTTAGTTAGTTAGTTAGTTAGTTAGTTAGTTAGTTTAGTTAGTTAGTATGCAGAGGATTATATTAACAAAATATTTCATTTATTAATCTTGTTCCTTTCTTTCTATCTGGCTAATAAAAATTAGATGACATTTTCTTTTTGCATATGTATTACATTCTTAACATAAAAC